TTCCAATCAGCGTGAATTCCGGCCATACTTCATACAGCTTCTGGGGTATGCGGACGCTGCTTGGAGTGAACTATCCAATCGCCTGTGCAGATAGAATGTCACCTTTGTCGTAGGTGTTGGTAAGGTGTACGTGGAAGCACGGACCACGTTTACCACCTACTGATCTAGACACGATGCCAGTCTCCTCGTCACAACTTGAATGCCGTTTTCCAGTCGGGAGTTCTGATTCCCGAGGCAGACGGGAACGACTGTCTTGACTTCCCCGAGTTCGTGCGTGCCTGCGCCGTACTTCAGGGCGGTTTTCGGGCGAGGGGACCCAAATCCTGCCTCCGGCGCTTGATGTCTGGGCCGTGGCCACCACATGAAGCACAGCGGTCCTACAGTCAAGTGACTGGGCCTTAGTTCCTTAGGCATGATCCGGAAGATCAGCGACCACATGGAGGAGCAGAACTACGAGTCCTTCAACAAGAGCTTAGACGAACTTCGCTTCACGACCAAGGCAGGGTGACAGCCAGCGATGCTTTTCGCTGCCCTCATGAACCCATAGTTAACTAACACACACACACACACACTCACACAGATACACATATATATATATATATTACCATATATATATATACACATATATGTATGTATTGAGCCCGTTGCAAGTTTCTCAGGAGGCAGCAGAATTCCGTGGCCTCTTTCTTCAAGCAGACCAGAGCGGCACATGCATGCAGCTAGGCAAGCATCGGATGTGGTGTAGGGGTTAACGGCTGCAGTGCCTAAGGTTTCCGTAGCATTGCGGTTTCGCTAGGCAAGGGGACTTTGGAAACTGGTACTGCCGCTTGTCCAGCATGCACTGCAATGCAGTGATTGTTGATATCAGTCTTTGTTTCTAAATGCATGCACGCATGATTTTACAATGGTGTGAGGCCATGATTTGTTTTTCTCGGTATACCGCTGAGACTGTCTGGGTATGTTTTCGCAGTGCTAGACATGCACGTGCCTATGCCGGTCTACAATTACAAGAAGATCCTGTTGTACTGGTACACAGCATGACTACAACGTGACATCGCCGGTTGGTGGAAGGTCCGACTGCTTCATTGTGTGCCGTCGTACGATGTGTTCACATTTGCTCATCATGCTGTTACAGTCGAGAACTGCCTGCTATACTTATGAATCGTCTCTCCCTACATGTCCTGTGCGATCGCCGTTCAATAGCGGCATATCTTCGTCAAGCATCCTACTTGTGCACGCACCCTGCCGCAGCGGGGTGTGCCATGGCACTGCGAAAAAATATTATTGGCTGTGCACGTTTTCGCTAGGCTCGGTACGAATCACTGCAAAACTGACATGTTCTTCAGCGTTTGACTACCTTCGATTCTGAACACTCCCGTGAGATTGTTGGACCAGCGACTTCAGCTCGTCTTTTGCTGGTAACACAGAGCGCTGCGCAACTCTGCTCCGACACCGTAATGTTTCGCTTGCTACCATGTTGCAAGGATGTAAGTCAGCAGTTCCACCTCAATCCCCAAACCCCATCACAAAACCCACGGAGACTCTACAAATCCCTTAGTCAAAGCGTCTCTGAGGCTTTCCTTCGCTGACGTCAAGTCCATGATTGCACGCTGTTGTGTCCTGGATGCGGAGCAATCGACGAAACTTCTAGGTTTCTGCCGCTCTTTGGCCGCAGTTGCCTTTGTCTGTCTTCTGGTGCGGTACCTCCTAGTTCGTCAGTGTTGGAGCTATCACTTAGAGTGCTGCATCTGGATAAGACTCTGAGGCATTTGCAGTGTAGCACTCGATGTTGAGATATCAGCACGCTAGAAGCGCTAGAACTTCGACATCGTTGTTTTCCCGCCGCCAATTCAAGCCAAGTTCCATAAGTTTTTTTCCCCTGGATATGTAGACATGCAACTACACATGCAAAGGGGCACATGTTTTCTGACCAGCATGCAGCGTGCATCTACATGCACATCATTTTTTGGCACGTATATATATATATATGTATACACACATCATGTTCATTCATGTCTGATGTGCGTATGTAGAGAACTAGTTAAACGTCCCTACTCCTAGATGCAACGGACTCCCCACTGAAACCCTAAACTCAAAAGACTGTGCTCCCTGCTGCAACTCGAGCTTGGAGGCTCCGCCGTGGAGAATTCAAGCGACCTAACCTCCGGTCTTGACAAGGCAGGCTATGGGATTGGCTATGCGTGCAGGGCTTCGGATGAAGGCGAGCTTAGGGGCTTAGGTAGAAAGAGAACAGTCAGACTTCGGTTCTTAATAGGCAGTGGCTTGAGGATGGATCGGTGGAGAGGCGGCTTATCGCCAAGGCTCTGCAAGCCTGGACAGAGGAACTAAACTGCACATGCATGGAGCCTGAGGAACCCACGACATGTCTGGAAGGCACCGCGTAGTTTAGCAGAGAAGTCGCAGTTAGCGTTAATAATAATAATCACAATAATAATAATAACAATAATAAGAATAATAATAATAGTGGGCGTCCCTAGTCTCGGCTTTCGCCTTCGCAGAGCCCTGGAGTCGCGTGGGGCGGGCTGGGACTTAGGAAAGTGCAGAAGATCGTCCGGGTGGTTTCACAACTACCTGCCAGACTATTGTAGTGCTTAAACACTTTGAAGCTACAATGCAGCAAATCGCTGGTATAGTGAGTGGTATAGTTTGTATTTTTGACCTGCCAGATACATTTCGATGCCCAGGGCTTCGTTCTCGCCAGTCCGAACCTTGTGCCAGTTCCAGCGCCAATCCTTGAGGTGAACTTCCTTGCGTTTCTGCGTATCATGCGGGACGTCGCTTGCCTGACTTCACAAAAATCTTGAGCTTGCCTGATTCGCGCAGCTCAGATTTACAGACTGCAGAAAACCAGCAGCTAGTGGCGCCTGCAGGGATCAGGAGCTGTAAGCATGGGCTAGTTCTAAGAGTTTGCAGTAGAAGAAGCAGCAATCATTTACCACACTTCTGCAACGGAATGCCAACAACAGTGGCAGGAATAACGAGGTTGGGAAACAAGTTCCAACGAAAGCTGAGGTCATCGATGCGGGACTCTTTGCATCAACTTGGCAACACTTTCATGTTGGTGTGTTGTCTCATGACCCTAGAACCACAGACGAGTCTTAAGTTTGTACAGCCGCGAGCTTGTACTTAAGCGCTATCTGCGGATTTAGCATTGGGAATCTCTCAAGTGACACTCTGAAAAAGCAAGTGCTGGTCTCGATGCACCGGATCGAACACTCTTCGGTTCAAAAGGGCACGCACAACACGTGGCGCACATCCTGGTATGTAGAACCTCATGCCTTTCTCGCGTGGCATCTTATGTATGGCCGTATGCCGTACAAGAACGCATTGCAACATGAATGTGGTGATTACAACCTTTGCACACATGCAAGCCACAGAACCGACAACAACCGTGGAAGGGATTAACCCGACCTGTCACAACATCAGAACTATGTTGGCACGCTTCCTCTCAAACCTGGGGTAATCTAACAGTGATGTGATGTGTCCTTTTTGGGGTTTAGAGCTGAGGACTTTGGACGACACGATTAGGACTTCAAGGTATCCGCTGTTGTTCGAGCCATTTCGAGCCCGATTCCTGAAAGAATGAAGCCTTGCACCATGTTCTGCCCCAAGCTAACCTCTGAGTCTGCCCTTGAGGTTGGGTGCCAAACATCGGCTGAGTTGTCAGCTTGATGCCTTCTTGCGCCCAGAAGCGCCAGATTCGGAATCCACAGTCTTCGTGTGTAGGCTTCGATGGTTGGAACTATTTTTTTCGTGAACCTGGCTGCTCCACTGCCTGTTGTTTGGGCGTTTCCGGGGAACCTCTTGACTTGAGCTCCCAGGTATACCATATATGCACAGACATTTACAAATGTAGTTGCAACATACCTCTAACCGTGGATTGTCGTTGCAGAAGAGGTTTCCAACATTAAAGTCTGCGGCACCTTTGGAACATTGAGTACACCCAAGCTTCGAGACACAGCGACAGACACCCTTCTGTCAACGCTACCCACGCCATAAGAGAGCTACATCTCCTAAACCCTAAGCCCTAAACCCTATAAACCCTAAGCCCTATAAACCCTAAACCCTATAAGCCTCAGGTGTGTGTCAAAAGGTGCAGGGACGGCCGAATTTGCCCGAGTCGACTTTACCTCTCCCTTCTCGGCTCGGCCGCATGCCTTTGGATTGGCTCGGATCATGGCGGCTCCAAAAGGTGGGATGTAGGATGTAAGAGCCCACTTTTAGTCATAGCAGTTCCTGAAAGATGTTGAGTCCGACTGCTTACCTTCATCCCACTCCTCGAGGCCAATGGTTAGAGTGTTTTGAGAGCTCCGATTCTCGTGGAAAACTTCACGGAGGCTTGGAGTTGGATGGGCTACTCCGCACAACGCGGTCTTCATCGGCCCAAAGGTAACATATGCCCCGGAAGGCACGCTGGCCCAGCACCCTGCTGCACCCGCTTAGCCAAGCATAGTCAGGTCTCTACCTATAAGAACTGCAATGCACTGTAAATGCGAGCAACGACAAGAATGTACTTCGAGCCAGTCTTCGCAGGATGACCGCAGCTATCATGCCATGCAAGAAGGCAATGCTTGGATATGGGGCGGCTGCTGGGTGGTCATCTCAGCATCCCTCGAAGTTTCCTGCAGATGCACATGCGTACGCTCGAGAGACTGAATCTGTACAGCGCCTGGAGCAGCAGGAAAAGGCTGTTTCAAACAGCGGCCGAAGACAGCATGTTTAGCTGGACTGTGCTGCTCTTCCAGGCTCTTCCTGCGGATGTGCATCTCGAAGTTTGAAGTTTGTCAGACACATTTTGGCCCAGAAATTAGTCGAGCATGCTAGTGATTCCAGACATTCGCCGATCCACGAACGGCTCGAAATTCTCACTGGTGCCGCACACTGCTGACACTACCACTTGCTAAACCTGTTGCTGGTGCTTGCACCACATCCTCCAGCATTTATAGCCTCTTCCAAGCTACGAAGAGCGGACCCGGGCCATGTTGCCCTGGCCCTGGCTTCCTGCGGGCATCGGCCCCTGCTCTCTCGGACCACCGCCTCCTGGGCGAGACAGAGGCCTTGGCAACAGAGGCGAGGTTTTGTGGGTTTGGGCTTTCAGAGTCCATGTTGGAGTGTTCAGACCCTTGCATGCGGGCCCCGACGTCAGCTTGAAATTGGCGGCCCGCTTTACTACAGCTATAAGCTACATGCTGATGATTGGTGCTTCCAGAAGCCTTCCTTTTGGCTGCGATGTAAGGGCGCACACCCAGTGGCTGCATCGCATAGCCATCTGCTGAAACGCCCGAGCAGGCGTTCAAGCACTCCCGCGGCGAGTGGGTGGTGCTTTGATAGGCCAGATGGGGTGATCTTTGCAAGCAGTGGGACTTGGCGTGGCGCTGCGGCAATATCGTGAAACTCGCTTGCTTCAGGCTCTCTCTCCTTGCCAGTCTCGTTCCGTCACGGTACTTTGTCCGTACATGCCTCCAATGCTACCCCGCGAAGACACGGAAGTTTGTAGAGAAGAACCATTTTGCATGTGCTTCCAAATCCTCAAAGCCCTCTGGAAAGTTGTGTGTAACCTTACGCCCAGCGCTTAGGTTGCTGAAGCCCCAAACTAACCGTGGGCTCGATGTGACGAATTTAGGCAAACAATTCCGAACACTATTCACGTGGGGTTCGGTCTTAACATATACAGCAAAACCCTGTTCTGATCATAAGTATACCTATTATTCTTATTATTCTTATTCTTATTATTATCATTGTTATTATTGTTATTGTTGTTATTGTTATTGTTATTGTTATTGGTATTGGTATTCTTCTTATGATTATTACTACTATTATTATTATCATTATTATTAATATTCTTCTTCTTATTTATTATTATTATTATTCTTATTATTTTTATTTTTATTACTACTATTTATAAGGGCCCTACATAATTCGTGTGCCCGTTTTGAAAGGCTTGGGCTTCTTTGGTTTTTGGCCCCGGAGCAGCTCCGCAAAGCAAATGCGGTCGAGCCGTGTGCCTGGGCAGATTCTTGTGGCGCTTTGAGAGCTTGCTACATTCGTAGTTCTCTAAATTAGGGTCCCTTTTTGGGTCCCCAATGTAGTACGGCACCCTTATAAAAAGGACCCCCAAAGGGACCCTAGTTACCCTAGTTTAGAGAACTACCCACATGGCATTACATCATATTCGACTAGACTGTCTATAGTCTATACTACTCAACTATATTATTTTACACCTAGATATTGTAGGGTCGATATTGAATTAGGTCTTGGGCTTAGGGCCAGCATGGGTGTTTGGCTGCTGCGTTGGGTATGGACTTCGGGCTTCCGCAGACCGGCTTGGCTTTAGTCTGGAAACGCAACCTGTTCTGTTGGTAACTGCATTCACAAGCCTAGCGCTGTTAGGTCTGGTACTCCGAACTTTCAACCGGAATTGTGAGATGCAAAGCCTTCTTGTGCCCTTTCCCGGAGAACACTCACGCCCGGCGAGGAGGTCGACCGCAAACAGCTCGAGGATGGATCGGAGGCCGACCGAACATGTGCTTAGCATTCTGGGTTTTGGCTTGGGCTTTAGAGACCTTTTTGGGCTTAGGCCCTATAGGGCCTAGGGCCATTGACCATAAGGTCTTGGGTCGTTGTCCGCGGAGGTGGTCAAGTTGGCCTCGGGCGTGCAGTACATCGACCTGCGGGTTGGCCGCGGAGAGGCCGACCGAGGGTCCGAAACAGAGAGTTTTCAAGTCCGCGACCTTGAGGCCTCAAGGATTCTTCGGCCTTGTTTAGGGAGAAGCGATCTTGCCTAAAGGAGCGCTAGAGGGCACGTAGGCTGCGCCCGTAACTTATTCCTGACTCGGCCCAGGTCCCCGAGCTGGGCGACGTCGTCCTGGCGCATGTGAAAGGCGCCTTGGGGTTGAGCTGTCGAGGCTTTCAGGTGGCTTCATGTGTCCAAACTCCTCTGACATGGCGTGCCTCTGCTGTTCGATTCTCACTTAGCTCGAACATGACCAGTGAAGAGGGGAGGGCCAAAGCCAGGATACTTGATGGAAAGGGATGATCCCGTCTTTGTGGACACCTACTCAGACGGCAGACCACTGGTCTTCTCACTTGGCACTGAGCCCCAGGCGGGACTGTGGTCTCAAATTCAACCGAGCTCATGTCGACACCACTTACGGCGCTGGGTTCCATTATGGTAAAAATCTTGTCATATAGGGGACAGTTGAAGAAGTGATTCAGCTAGTAGCCCCATCCCACTGTCTATGTTCACCGGTACTTCGACAGTTGCTGCGCCGCTCTTGCAGGTATTCTGATGATGAGTATGCCCCATCAACCCCAAATTGTCGAGCCTATAAGGCCCTGCAAAGCCCGATAGGCCCCTTATGAAGCCCTACTTCCTTAATCCCCCCTAAACCCGGTCAGGCCAATTACATCCGAAGAATCAGATCCGCTGAACCCTAAACCTTAAATCCTAAACCCTAAAACCTTAAACCCAGGTTTTTGTTAAACCTTCCCTAAACCCTAGATTTTTGTTAAACCTTCCCTAAACCCTAAACCTTGAAAAGTCCTGGGCAGGGCCTCACGGAGGGACTCTCGGAAGCTTTAGCGACGATGAAGCTGGGATCTATCCGAGCTGTGCAGGTCCGGGTTCAGGAAGGGTGATTATTATTATTATTGTTGTTACTATTATTATTATTGTTACTATTATTATTCTTACTATTAGTATTATTCTTATTATTACTATTATTACTATTATTACTATTGTTACTATTATTATTTGTACATTATTGTTATTATGATTATATATATATATACACACACATATTATTATTGGATCAGGTCTTTAAGTAGCAACTTGGGACTTCGGGGCTATGGTAGCGGCTATGAGGGTTTAGGACTTCGGGGTTGAAGACTAGCTTCTTCCAGCGTTTCAGAGGTGCACTTTGTGTAGGATGTAGGAACTTGGGCATGCAGCAGTTTCCCTTTCAGGCTTAGGACGTCGCTTTCAGGCTTAGGACGAAGCACAGGGAGGCGAGAGGTTGGAGGTTGCACTGCTTGCTTCTCTCTCCAGGAAGTAGTCATCGAGTTTGCGGGCGATCACACTTGTAAGGTTAATTCCAGAAGTGCCAGATAGTCCGCCACAGCCTGCTGCAGCCGCAACGGCGCAGGTGCCATCCTACCTTGGCTATCCTGAAGGGCTGGCACGTGCCAATGTAAAGCCGCCACTGCGCCAACCTCAGCTGCTCCCTCAAGTCCGTATAGGTTTGTTCGCGTACATGCAGACCTAGGCGACTTCAAATCTCAAACAAACCTGCCTGAATTGTACGAGTGTTGCGATAAGGCGACTCCCTATTCCTCGCAAGGGGGGGCTGCGCTATGAAGTAGAGCTACTGCGCTGTGCTCCCTGGCTTCGTTTTATTTCGAGAGACCACGCTGTATCGAATTTCCATGGATCCCACAGCTGGAGGGTCGGAGGTTCAATTCGGGGATACAAGTATCTGTCCTTCGGGAGGTGCAGGCGCCTGCAGAGAATGGGGCAAAGGAAAGCCAGAGGTTGTGCTGCTCTGATGCTGAATACCCATGCAGCTTGCTTGCAACGGTGGCTTCTTCAACGTCTCATTTCTTTTGGTTATTGTAGCTCTGATTTATTGGCACCGTGGGCCACCGCCAGTCGAGGCAAGCTCTCGAAGGACATCCGCCTGGACGTCACAGATGTTCCGAGCCAAAAATAGGCTGGCGCTGCAAACTTTGGGAGGATGGGCTGCACAAAGGTTGCAGCCCATAGCATTGCAGCCCGCAGAGTAGGGCAAGATGGTCTTCGAAGCGTAGCCTGCCTCCGTTTCCCAGATGTGGGCAAAGAGATTGCTGACGCTGCAGCCTTGCGGAAGCAAACTCCGCCAGCTGTGCTGGCCAATCGCATTTATCGCAGTCTATTATAAGCCTTGAAGCAGATTCCCAGGCTTTCCTTCGCAGCATCGGGCTCAAATGGGAGAGGGCCCGAAAGACTCGTGCCTCTAAGGCAGGGAGCTTAGCGGAATGATGCACCACCTGCTTCAGACTGCATCGTCCTCGAGCTTTTCTTGTTTCGTTTCTTTGTCTCATTGCAAGACTTGCAGCCCTGTGCACTTAAGCTCAGCCACAACATGCCAAAAACCAGGGGAGGTATAATCGCAACTCGATTGCAGTTGTTCAGTGCGGGTTGTGAATTCACGCTCTTTTCACTCCAAGATGTCTTTCTTTGCCAGGGGCCCGGCCATGTCAGTTTCGCAGTTGCGGTGGCCCCAGTGGATTGCGTGTTTCTGCTCTCTGCCATGAAGTGCAATCATTGCTGTTTTTCTTCGAACCGTGGGATCTGCGATCTCCGTAGTGACAAGAGCGAAATAGCAAACATGAAAGCAGCAGCACGGTGGCGTTGGTGCCCCGAGGCCTCCTGCAATCCGAGACGACGAGAAGGATCGGCTTCTGCGCCGATCTGAACACAATGCCAGGCAAGCGCGGATTCGTCTTTGGGTTGGAGGGCTTCGGGTTTAGTTAGTGCTTGAAGGTCAGAATTGTTTAAGGTGTATCAGCATAGTATAGGGGCCCAAATAGTTAAGGGTTCCTGATTATAGCTTTAGTATGATATACCCCGAAACCCTATTCTCATTATTAAGGCCCCTACATTCGGGGATTGGGGTTCGGGCTTTCGGAGGCAAGTGTGACGAAGCTTGGAGATGCATCTCTGGGTGCAACCAGGAATCAAGGGTGCTCCCAAAAGCAGAAAGTGGTACCACGAGGTTTATCCCTGGTTCATGATATATCCACAAGCTGCGACACCCTTGCATGAAGAGCAACATCGACAACAGTGCTAATTTCTTTATAGTATATATACTATATTTATAATATAGTATAATATAATATAGTATAATATAATATAATATATTTTCTTTTTGGCTATCGTGCAATCTGCTCTCAGTCTGGCATCCTGCCAGGGCCAGAGAGCACGCAGCGAAAGTTGCTGGGCACAATGAGAGCGAGAGGACCCTGGGCGGCTGCTCGAAACATGTATTTTGCCGCTGTCTTTCAGGATGTGGGACTTAGGGGTTTTTAGGGCTCGAGGGCAGTAGCCTTTCTCAGCTCGATCCTCAAAGTCTTTGCCCCAATGGTCACCCACTGCGAGACGTGCCTTTTGAACAGCCTAGTGAACCCTGCTGCTTGTAAGCTTCCTGCATCAGGATAAAGAAGAGAGATGCTTTCAGGAGGCTGGGCCCTTAATGGAAGCCACTCTTCACTGTGTGCAACTCAGGGTTGTTGGGTTCGAGCCAGATCTGCCTGCAGCTAGAATAGGGTTCGATCAGGATGGTGATGTCCTTTGTGGTGTCCTGGCAGTTGTGGCGCCTGTCGAAGTTGAGCCTCAACTTATGACGTGAGACCTATGATGTTGCCCTTAACCAACTGCTCTCTCATGCGTGCTGAGTGTCTGGTTAAGCTCCATTATCTTCGATTCTTCCATCAGCCACCCAGACTTGCAGGGAAGACAGCATGGCTCGAAGAACGTTCGTCACCTCTCTCCGGGAGCGAGAGGAGCACGGACCCCGGACATGTTCAATCGCACACTTGAGAGGCAACTTGGACCCGCACGGGCCCCAAGCCCAGCCAGGCCATGTCAGCTACCCAGCATGACGATGGGATGCTAAAGACCAGTGTAGTCGATAATGATGCTGACACTTGCAAACTATTGCTCGTCGAATCACTGGAAGGCCCTTGGGCATCGTGTTAAGCCCTGTCTCTCCGATATGCTAGGATGACTGCCTTGCCACGAGCTCAGGCGATGGGTCTACAAGACGCAGGCTCCGATCAGTATATCTTCTGAATGAACTCAGCTCCTGAGATCTTCGTGGGTTTGGACTTGCTGGGGATTCCCGGAGCCCGTTTCGTATTCACGTCTAAATTTCCCGACAGCTGCCCTCGTCTAGCCTGCAGGATGCGAGGGAGAGGTGCAGGAAGGTTTCTCGGAATCCTGGGCCGAGCCTGTAGGATCCGGAAATTCCATCGCAGCAGTTCATTTGCTCGGTTGCGAGCCAGGCCAGCCCCTTCCACGAAGATCTCTGGGCCACGGACGAGAGGACACCAGCACGGGATGCCTGCAGACACCACGAAGCTCGAAGCCTGAATTCGAAGCCCAAGATCTGGATGCCTCAAATGCCTAGATGCTGCAGCACCTGGTAGGCAGTTCTTCCTCAACATCCACCGGAACAAAGAGCTACAAAAGAAGCTCTGCACTCACAGCCCTGGGGTCCAGGTCAGGCGTATGTGGACAGTTATCACAGCATCGTGCCTTTCATGCGAGTTTGAGCTGCTTAAGTAGCTGCGCATAGCTTGAGAGCCTGTGGTAGAGCTCAGTCTCTTGCTCGCAAAACTGCAGGGTGGCTCAAGCTTCTCAAGAGGGAAGTGCCGAATCAGATCAGAGATGCCCTCCAAGCGACGCAACAACGGCCGCTCCAAGCATGGCCGCGGCCACACTGCCATCGTGCGCTGCTCCAACTGCGCGCGTTGTGTGCCGAAGGACACTTGTCGAGCCTTTCTTTACCGCAAGAGTCCCCGATGGCAGAACCTAGATCTCAGCGAGACTTCTGCACATAGTGAATTTGAATTTGTGGACAGGACAAGGCCATCAAGCGCTTCCAGGTCCGTAACATGGTGGACGCATCCTCGCAGAGGGATCTGAGGGAGGCCAGTGTGTACTCGAGCTTCATGCTCCCCAAGCTCTACATGAAGATGCTCTACTGCACCTTGGCAGCTATAAAATGAATTTGGAACGTAACTATCCATGTTCACAACCTTATACTGTAGGCCCCGAGAAGCTCCCACACGCATTGGTTGGAGAGCTTCAGAGATGGATCCAGGCGTCTCCTGCGCCATTCACGGTCGTGTGGTGCGCGTCCGCAACAAGGCCGGCTATGGTTTTGTGCTTCATATATGACTCGTTGTGTGTATGTACGTACGTAGGTAGGTCGGTAGGTAGGTAGGTGCAGGCAGCTCGGATGCAGATTGTGCATCTAGTCGGCATGGACCTGTGTTAACATGTTTTATACAGACTCGACTATAATGTATCTACGATTAGTCTCAGTACTGTGTAAATGTCGAGGGTCAATAGGGTCAACTCTACGAAGTGCGTCGGCAGCCTGCCGCCTCGAAGACGAACAAACTCCAAAGCCGCAACAAGCAGGGATCCGAAAGCTGAGTGAAAGAGTTTCTTGGACGTTGCCCAGGAAAAAGGTCCTCAAGATGAACCTATAAGCCCAAGTAAAGAAACCGAACCCTAAACCCTCTAAACTGGGTCCTTGTTGGCTACAATTTTACATTTTTGTTATAATAAAACCCAAAAAGGATTAAAAATGATCATTTTTAATATAGCCCCAACAGGGAACCAGTAAACCCAAGTTCCGCAGGCCCCAGGACCCCAAAGAGACGATTGTCTAGAACACCACGTGCAGGTGCTGCGTGCCAGCCCCGAAGGCCGGAGACGTGGCAGCTGCTGTTTACTGTAGAAGACTAATTTAGGGGCCTTCATAATCCCCAACAGCTTTAGCTTCGGGTATCTATCTCTAGAGGCGGGGGGCCTAGTTTTACTCCGGAGCCCAAAACGTTCCAAAACGGAACGGAACGGAACGCCGGAACGGAACGGAACGGAACGTCGGAACGGAACGGCACGCCGGAACAGAACGGAACGCCGGAACAGAACGGAACGCCGGAACGGAACGGAACGCCGGAACAGAACGGGATGAAATCATCAGACATTCAACCAGCCGCCGCACCGTGTTGTTTCCTTGCTGTTGGGTTGCACAGCTGGGTTAACTAGAATAGGGTTTTGGTGCCCATTATACTACGTATGGCTATAATAAGGAACCCCCCAAAGTCATATAATGTAGGTAATTATTGAGGCCCCTAGGTAAATCATTACCTATATGATTGCTTGGGGTTCCTTATATATGGTTGCACTCGAACGGGGGACCGGAACCCTACTCTAATTATTGAGGCCTCTATATTGGGGAGACTCAGGGCCTTTCGGGGTTGAACCTCAAGGGGCTTTCCTGGGGCTCTTTGTCAGAGGTTTGGCGGGTTCGGGGGAAGAGCGGGGTTCCCTGTCAAGTGCAGGCTGCACCGCGTCGGGTTCATATTTGCAAGAGCTCCTGACTTGATGGCTTGAGGACGTGTCTACAAGCCACCACAGAAGGCGCGAGCCCGATTGCATCGGTTGCCTTCGAAGCGTTTGGGTGCAGTACATGTGGGTCCTGTTACACATTCCTTGACCTCAGGGCGGCGGCAAGGGCAACTGAGAGTCCAAGTAGATCGGAGCCACCTTGCGGAAGACCACGCTCGCGGCGTCGGAGAAAAAATGCCCCCGAGCCAGGCAGGCTTGATGGTCTTTTTATGTTGATGCTCTCATCGGGCACCTAAGAAGATTGCGCTAAGAGTCCACTCCCAGAAACAGTGAACACTATATTATGCGGTGTAGGATTGCCCACAGGTCGGGCCTCAGCTGTCGCACTGCTTAATGGTCTCTTGTGAATTTCTGCCACCATGAACTCATGCCTAAGCCATGCTGAGGGAGAAGCTCGCCAATCTACGGCAGCGGGAGGCGAACCAGCGTTCGGGTTGGGAATTTGCCCTCAGACTCTGACTCTGGAGTCTGATAAGTATCGTATGTTCCGACCACCTTGTGGTCGCTTGTTACAACAGACCGACTCATGCAATCTACGGCTAGTCTTGAATAGGGAACCCACCTTTGCAATGCATGCCCGTTCAGTGCAGCTGCAAACTTACAATTTTCTCGAAGTTGCAGTATCAAGTACATCCACTGACATTCCCACCCGTAGGCCTATGATGCCATTCGCCGGCGGGCGACGGCCGAAATCAATGAGCTCGACGAGCCTGCGCCCAAGAGCTGAACAGACGTTCTCAGTTCGCTGCAGTCCATGGCAGACCTTTGGACTGCATGGACCGTTCCCTCGCCATCCAATATATCGGAGTTCCCGAAATCATGGGACCCGGACCCAAAATCCCCTCATAGTAAGATCCTTATCATAGGAACCCCTACTATCCCCAACAAGATCCTTATCATAGGGACCCCTACTATCCCCGAGAAGATCCTTATCACAGGAACCCCCTACTACCTACTAAGCACATGAGCCCATGGCGGATTCTCCCGGAAGCTTTGCCGAGGCTCCGGGCCGAACGGAGGCGCCCCGCGGGGACAGAAAACTTGGGGTCGGAAGGTCGAGGCTGCGATGTTTCCTACTCTGCCACAAGACATTTAGAGTATGTTAGAGTCAAGATATTAGAGGAAGTGGGAGGGGGGAGGGTGGGGAAGAATGGAATGGGCAAAGAAGACAGACAAAAAGAGGCAGGGGCGAGAGTCAAGCTGCTGCAGAATTTCTCCTACAGGAGGGGACGCAGTCAAGCATGACATGCACTGGATGACGCACATGACCAAGACAAACAAAACCAAACACACACACACACATATGTATATATATATATGTGTTCAGAAAGAGTCAGGAACCATACTGACAGTGACATATGCAGTCGCGGGATGCGGCGTACCTTCGTGCAGACGTCACTGCTGCCACGAATGGATCAGACATTGAAGCACTTCTGGAGATGTGTAGTCCACGAATATTATAGCATCGTGATGCGCAAACATCAGTGTGCATAAAGGTTTCCCCTGCAGGTGCCAGCGTTGTATCACTCGGAGACTTGATCAGCCCAATTCCACCAGACTGCAATCCGAGCAGCTAGAACGTCTCCTTGTCAGGTTCAATGTCCAAAGCCGGAAGCATCTGAAGGCTATGAAGGACTGCATTCTGGGCTTTGCGTCTTGGGGTTCAGCTCGCGACTCTCTGTCATATCAACGGTTGTCCACAACCACCACCACCACCCCCACCAGCACCGCCGCCTCGACTGCTGCCGTTGCCGCCACCGCCACGGCCGCTGCTGCTGCCTGCTGCCTGCTGCTGCTGCTGCTGCTGCTGCTGCTGCTACTACAACTACAACTACAACTACAACTACTACTACTACTACTACTACCACTACTAGTACTACTAGTACTACTAGTACTACTACTACTACTACTACTACTACTTCTACTACTACTACTACTACTACTAGTAGTCCTACTACT